TCTGGAAAATTATTGTTTTTCCAGCCACACTCCTCTTATGATCGTGATTTATATAATTTATCAATTCAGTATTATTTATTGTTTTATATTTCTGCTTGATATTTTATGTACTTTGCACTCCATATATACTTACATAATTATTTAATAAAATATGGAAACGGATTCAAGCGGAACACCAAAAATTCGGTATTTGCGAATGGCAACATTGTAGCGCGCAGAATTTTGCTAGTCAGTTAACAAGTGCGTGATTTTCATTTAGTCGTCTAATTGGAAGTGCTTAGTACAGTTTCATGCATATTACAGTGTTTATTTAGGTAGTTTAGTATCGATCCAACGAAAATGGCTACCAGAGACCCAAAACGTTTTGACTGGTCGCAGGAAAGAGAGCCAAAGCAATTACTCTTCATGAAGAAGGTTACCCATATCAATTGGGTGGTGACGCCACAAAATCAGGAGTAATCAAAATTTCTTAACCTTATCACAACATTTGAACGACAAAATCAGCAAAAAGAACAGGCAGAAAACTGAAATTGAGTCAATATGAGAAGCGCAGAATATGGCACCTGTCTTTAAAAGATTGTCGCAGATCCTCAAAAGACATTAATGCAATTGTCAAATCAACTGATCGCACTATCAGAAGAAAGTTGTGTGAAAATAGATTACGAGCAAGAACACCTAGAAAGAAGTCGTTCCTGAACAAGGCTAAAAATGTAGAATAGGCTAACAAGCATGATTACCACTAAATTTTATTTAAAGAAACTCAGGTGCGCGTGAAACACAATTCCAAGATTCTTAAATATTGCAACAGTACAGTTCTTGTAATAGATGTATTAAAGCAACTAAAAATAATGAAAAAATCTTTTTATAGCAGACCGAGAAATTATGGCACCTACCTTGTATATAAGGATGTTTGAATACGAAATTCGCTCAACAAAGTGATTTAATTTTATATTTCGAAATACTCGATAAAAATATAACTTTATCGACTATTTTGCGTCGTGAGTACTACGATATGATAATAATTAAAACAAAACTGCTGTAGGGAACAGACATAGTATTCATTTTGTATTTATTGTATACAAATTATAAAGATAAAATCATTTAAATAGCTGTACAAATCACGGACTAAACGTCAAATCAAACAAAATCGACAAACTCAAGAAAACGTGAATTAGAAGTTAAATAACGAACTTCAATTCATTATTAACATATATAATATACAGAAAAAACGTTAAATTCACATGCACCATCATGATCTAGTCTGTTCTATCCACTTTTGAATATACTCCTCTCTCATAATTGGTTACACTTTTTGTTGTGAACTGCAGTTTGTTCCTTTTCCATTTGATCCTTTTGTCAATTCTCGGTCAGCCATTGCAATATCTTTGTCGTTCATCTGTCCTCATTCATTTTTTCCACACGTCAGACCCATTCCACTTTAGTGTGACAATTGATTCAATGTTGTTCCGTGTATTATAGTGATATCCTTGATAGTGATTTACAGCTCTGATCTTTTCATTTTTCTCTGGACGACTATTAATTTGTTGGCTGGAAAAGGTACGATTTTCGGCTTCATATATCATAGCAGTTAACATACACTGTCGAAAGTCTTATCTTTCAACGATATAAAGATATAACTCTTAAATACGTGTCTTACTTTTCCATGTGATACCCAAACCAGGCATATTCTTCATTTAATTTGACAGGTTTCAAATAGGTTTCACTTGTATTTACAGCTCAACAGGCCCTAGAGATCCATAAGTTGGAATTTCTCCACTGCTTTCGTCCATTTTCTTCTGTCCATGGCCGCAGTTCTTCAATTTGGTATCCCGATTGATTGTAAGTCTTCCTTACACGCTTCTAGTCACTTTTTTCGTGGTCGTCCTCTTCTCTTCTTTCCTTCCCATCTCAGCAGCGAGTCCTTTGCACACCTTACGTGCCATTCTCGAAAGATGGCCTATCCATCTTATTGGGAAAAATATTAACCAAATAAGTTTCACTAGGTACCAAATATGTATGTCATTATTTTTGACTGGTGTTTGAACTGACTTTCGACATTCTGATTAAAAATTTAGAACTGGGTGATCATTAAAGAGACAGAGATTATTTGTATACATTATAAGTTACTGAGGTTCAAAGGAGTAGTGATGCGCAATAAAAGGTGTTGTTTCCTGATAACACCTCTAGCCACTCCTACTTAATTTCTATCCTCACCTCCAAGAAGTGTGTCTTAATCACACGGGTGGACTCTGACAAACCTGAGCAACCCTACCGAAGATTGGGTAACCAACCCCAGTGGAAAGTATGGTCAGGGCCGATGAGGAAGGGAGAAATGGTCCTCCGAAAAGGGAGTTAGGCATAGGGCTAACAACCCTATCCTAGAAAACACACATGTTACGAATGTTCAAGGAAAGAAAACCGGACTGATCAAACGACGACGACTGTGCGAGAAAAAGGTGCATGAATTAAGAATCACGACATGGAACATCCGATCCCTATACAGATCGGGAGCCCTCCAAAATCTGCTCGGTGAACTGAATAGATATGACATAGATATAACAGTTCTGCAGGAATGAGATGGACCGGGAGTGGCACCATTGATAAAAGACACCACATTATATTATTATATTCTATAGTTCGCTAAAGACCACGCACTAGGTACTGGCTTCATTGTAAACAAAAAGGTTAAACACCTCCTAAGAGACTTTCGTGCTGTGAACTCTAGGGTTGGAGAAGGGATGTATCCAGGAACTGCAGACATAAAGGCGTTTTGGACGATTTTTCGGATGGTTTCAGGAGTTGGTGATGCTGTTTGTTGTGTTTTTTTTTTTATTTTATGGACTATTGGTGTAAGGTGTTCGCTGGCCGCCTCAGGATTTTGGTGGCAGATCTCAGTGAGAGCCTGCTTCCATTCCTGTGGCGTCCTTGGTTCGTGTCCGTCAATGTTAACTGACACGTGCGAGGTGCGTGAGGAAGAAGAGGATTGGGAGTCGGAAACAGATTGCCAATCGGCCTCTGCTTTCGCTGGTTGAGGAGGATCTGGCTGTTTTCGGGATTTGGATCTTGTTCGTGGCATATTGTGGGTTTAGGTGTGTATTAGGAAGGTGTTGGTGTATTTATTATTGTTGGTGTAGGAAAAGGAATTAATAAATGTAGGAAATTGGATAGGATAGGATATATTGATAAGTGTAGGAAATTGTGTTGGTGAACTTAATTAGTAAGTGTGTGAAATGGGTGAATGAGTGGGATGTGTGTGTGTGTGAGAGTGTGTGTGAGTATGTGTGTGAGTCTTTACCTGGGAGATCGAGCACTTTTTCATTTCGGAAGAACTCTACGGCGAAGAGCTCCAGACAGGCACCAATGTCAACACCTCATTGCCCCCTTATTTTTCAATAACCGGTATACAAGGATTTGTCGGCCGGTTGGCGCCACGCCCGTTCTGTTTGATGCTAATTACCAGTTTTGGCGCCTTACATGCATATTTTTACGCCTCCACGTGGCAATTTCGCATCTATTGTTTGTTTTCTGGTGGTCTTCACGTCCAGAAAGCGTCACTACCGGCACCGTGGATCCGTTCGCGAGTTCTCCAGGGTTTCGCGACCGTTTTTCAAGCTGTTTGCCGTTTTTCGCGACACGTTTCACGATTAGACCTTATTTTGTCTGGTTTTTCTGTAACTTCACTTTAGCGTGTACGTTCACGTTGAATGTTTATGCGGTACTGTCGACAGGTCAGAGGTCAAAGAAACCTACAGAATCTGACAATAGGAGACTATAACATCGAAAGCGTGAAAAATTTTACATCTAGGTTCACTAGTTACCGCAGAAAACTATGTCAGTGAAGAAGTTAAGAGAAGAATACATATCGCTAATAAAAATATATAATAGACTAATTAAACATCTAAGATCTAACAAAATCACAAGAAAAACCGAATGCAAAATATAAGAAACCCTGATAAAACCGGTCCTTGTATATGGATCAGAGACATGACATGGTTACTGTAGGAAAGCGATGAGAACCTATTAGGTGCGTTTGAACGAAAAATGCTTAGACACATATATAAGGGGGTGAAAGAAAATGACATTATAGCACAGAAGATATAATTTTGAACTAAACACAGTATACAATGAATCCAACGTCATAAAATCCATAAAGATCGGACGTTTGCGCTGGATGGGCCATGTTGAACGAATGTTGGAGACTGAAACGCCAAAAGATATCAAGAGGCAAACACCGGCAGGGAGAAGGTCAAAGGGAAGACCCAAACTTAGATAGATAGAACAAGTGGAACATGATCTGAAAACAATTAAGATTACCAACAGGAAAAACAAAGCAAGGAACAGAACAAATGGCGGAAAATCCTAGAACAAGCCAGGACCCATCATATAGGATAGTGATTGAAATTTAAGAAATAGAGATCTTAGGATCATGCGAGGAATCATAACTAAGGCATTCTTGTTTAGACAAATACATATATTATTTAATTAGTTAAAAAAAACTACTTCATTTTTTTTGTATTGTTGAAACTGTTCCTTCGTGATAATGTTAATAAATTGTAAGTATTTAGGAATTTGTTATTTATCAAAGTACTCCTAATATTTTACTCATTATTTTATCGAGTGCAACTGACTTTAAACTTCATAATTATTAAAAACTATGAAAACAAAAATTAACAAATTTATTCTTTACTTTGATTGAATATACTTCGAATATTTATTTTAAATCTACTCGTTTCCGTCTGCCACTGGCAGAAACAGTCCGCCCACCGGCGCTAAACACTACGTCACATTCCCAAACTTAAATTTGTGCACTCTATATAAATTTTTTATGCATTCTAATGTAAACGATTTCGGAAATATCTTGGGTATGTGGTTCATTTTACGTTTAATAAATGTTCTTTAAACTTAAATCACTGCAATTATTGTGTTCGCACTTCTTAAATGCAAACATAATACACAATACAACATATAAATAAATAAAAATATCGAACTAAAATACTTACTTGTCCAAAATGTGTTGAAGCTCCTGGAGGGCAGGTAGGTAGAGCAGCATCTTGAAAAAATATACTTAATGCCGTCTGAAAAGAAAAAAGATTGGTTATATACCTAATAATAATTCAATAATATCTTGAAAATTACGCTCACCAATGTCTTCTTTTAACTAAATATGGTAAATAAAGTTGGATATTTCAATTCTAAATGCAGGCCATTCACGTTCCGACTTGTGGTACGACTAGTGGTCCAACTTCTGCAGTTGGATCAGAAATCGGACCGTGAGTGGGCTAGTTGGATTAGTTGGACAACTAGTGGTACGACTCGGAACATCTAGTGGGACACTTGAAGATCCGACTTCCGACTGGCGACGAAGTCGGAGCGTGAATGGTGAAGTTGGAAGTCGGATCACAGGTTGGATCGAAAATTTCCTGTTAGTTGACCTTCGGCACCTGTTACGTATGAGATTTCTATGAAATACTTTACGCAAAGATCTCTAGTTCGCGAATATTTAATAGAAAATAAACTTTCAATTGCACGAAAATTACCCTTTGTAAGGGTAATTTGCCCTTTTTGTTAGGGCAAATCATTTTCCTTTCTGTAGATCTATTTCGGACATTCACACACAGGTAAATTTCCGATACTCCGGATTGGCTACGGAAAAATTTTCAACAAACAATGAAAATTAAATCATAGTGGTAGCAAAAGATCCCTAGTTCGCAAAAAAATAATAGAAAATAACTTTCAGTTGCGCGAAAGATTATTCCTATTAAAAATATACGACACACACACACACAATAAAATAAATCCCAGCTCCAGTTTAAAACAAATAAAATATAGATTTCATACCTACACAAATCTTTATAATTAGTTTAGCCCTAGACAAATAACTATAGAAACGAAACCTAATTTATAAACATACATATCATAACATACATATAAAGATAACAAGCAGAATGCTGCCATTTTCCTCCTCCTAATTATATTTTGTGTAGTGTTTATTCGATACATTTTTTGGTTAAGCGATGTAGGTACACCTTCGTAAAAACAATCTAGAACTGAAGTTGGACCACTAGTTGGATAGAAAGTCGGAACGTGAGTGGAGACGAACATCCAACTAGCTTGTTCGTATTCACGAGGTAGGAGAGGAAATGGGCATTAAAATAAACTCAAACAAAACCAAATTTTTAGTGTTTAGTCGTGACCCACATCCCGATGCAAAGCTTCAATTGAACAGAGTCCTAGTTGAGAAAGTTCACAAAATGACATATTTGGAAACTGTGATAACGGACCAACTAGATCCAGACATAGAAATAAAACGTAGAATAGCAATGACTAAAACTACTTTTATGAAAATGAAGTCATTTCTTTGTAATAGCCATCTCACTTTAGAACTAAGGCAAATAATGGTTAAGTGCTCTGTTTGGTCCTTACTTTTGTATAGTGCAGAAGTATGGACGCTAAAAGTATCGATCATGAACAAAATTGAAGCATTGGAAATGTGGGTTCTTGACGAATGCTAAAGATACCTTGGACAGCAAGGAAAACTAATGAAGAATTACTAAGGAGCGTCAACACAGATAGAGAACTGCTAAAGACTGCTAAACATCGAAAAATGTCTTATCTGGGACATATAGTAAGGGGAAGTCGATATAAAATATTACAACTGATCCTTAAAGGCAAAATAGAGGGCCGTAGAGGTGTAGGAAGAAAATAAGTTTCTTGGTTAAAAAACAGTCGTGAATGGACTCAGATACCAAATGAAGGACAATTATTCCATATTGCAGAAGATCGAGAAGCCTTCGCAATGGTGATCGCCAACGTCGGATAAACCTGATATGGCACTCGAAGGAGAAGAACTGAGGGATGAGGGATTATAGCTGGCCATGTCCTCGAAAGGTACCTAGACCGCCAGGGCCGTACTGACCGAATAGAGATATTAGAAAAACTGAATGGGGCCCACAAACCCAACCGCATCGATGGGTCACCGCAAGGTTAACATTTAAAAGAGTTCTCCACTTTCATAAATCGGCTCTATAATGCATCCCAGTGAAATATAAAAGTACATGAATTAAATCTCAGAACTACGCGGCACTCAGTCACATTATCTAGTTACTAAACAAGTCAGCATCTAACATTAACCTCGTTAGAAGCCTTGTTTGATTTTGAAATAGTCATTATATTCTATAATTTTATGTGCATGAGACTCAATTAAGCAGACAGTTGGTACAGAGCAAAAGTTATCGCGATACAACAAATATAAGTAATACTATAATGAAAATCTCGAAGTCAATCAAATACGACAAGTATTAATAGGTTAAACTATCTGCAGACCTTGATAGTTCCGTTTCTATATATGTATGTGTGGTAAATAGTATCATTTTGTCAAGCGCAAAAGAGATTATACTGGGTAATTAATGTCAATTGTTACAAAAATTGTTTTCTTCCTGAAGCCACCAAATGTTCAACCCAATCCTCGCTATATGTAAATTACTTAATTGCAAGAAAACGTTTGAATTTGTTTTTAGTTGTGTTAATTTTAGTAAATAATATTTGTCTGGTTTCAGTAGTCTGTATTAGAACTCAAGGTCAACGTGTACTAATAACAGACATAAAAATAATAACAATAAACAATGTAACTGTTGTTTTCTTAATTTATACCAATACATGCCACTGACAGACATAAATGTATTAACCTGTACAAGAATGGAAATGTTAAAATAAATGAAATGTTAAATGGACGAAAGTAAAACACACTGTGTTGCCATACAAAAAATGTATGCCAACACTATATATAGATGAAAAAGTCAAAAGACGACCATAGTTAGGAATTTTACTTTAAAATTAAGTTTATTTGACTTTTCAATTTCCATTTTGGAAATCGTTTTCAATGTTTTGTATTTTGAGAACGATTTCCGAAGTGGAAATTGAAGTGTCAAAGAAACTTAATTTTATAGTAAAATTGAGGCTTATTTCAACAAAAATAGTAAACGTGCATGGAAGATGTATTGATAACATAAACAAAATAATAATACTTGTATTGCTACAGCTCTAATAAAAGATTTTAACAAAATTATGAGGATTCTTAAAAACAAATATCATCCTTACAAAAAATCCATACGTTAAGACAGAAGATAATGATAGATGATTTGTATTCTATTGTGATGTACAAGGAAACCTAGAAGGTAAATATTTATGTCAAGACATATAAATTTTGTTCTAGCCAAAACTGCCACGTTCTTAAGAGTGAAACAAATTCACTTTTACATTCGATCGATCTGTATGTTTTTACGTTGTTTAGGCTTTTTGGCCTCTTGAAGGAACAGGGGTTTATGGATTGCGAAACGTGAATATGTGTATTGCCGTTCTCCTAGGACTTATGGCTCCAAGGCAGTAAATGTCAGAAGGATTTCCAGCTACTAAGTACAAATTCCATTGGATCAAACAGTCCTTTTCAGATTATTGGCCTTGTTTTTTTCGGTGCAATGTGTGGAGGATAGATGTGGCTATGTCCTCACCTAGGATCAGGTATCATTGTGCAATGAGATTGGGAAACCACAGAAAACCAATCTTCCCCTGTCCTTGTGATTTGAATTGCGACTCCTAAGGAGTATGCGGAGTGCTCACTATTTTGTGTTTGATATGGGTGGGCATTTTGTGTAGTTATTAGTTGTGGTATGTTGGTTTGTTTCTTATTTTGGTGTTTGTATGTTTATTGGTTTGTGAACTATTGGTAGTATTACTTGTTGGTAAAGTGTATGTAGAGTAAAAGATATATGTATTTAAGACTAACTGTGTGTTATATATGTTGTGTTTAAGTGAAGGTTTGGTTTAAGGTGCTATTATAACAGAAAGTAGATATGAAGGTGTTAGACAAGAACGCGTGTTGTCACCTGACTTATTCAACATTTATGGTGAACATGTCACGAGGATGGCTATAGATGAATGGGCCGGTGGAGTAACAGTCGCTGGTAGGAAAATCTCCAATTTAAGATTTGCTGATGGCACTACACTTGATAGCAAGAAATGAGAAAGAAATGTTTAATCTTCTGCAAAGATTTGAGTATGAAAGCAATAAAGTTGGTGTGAAAATCAATAAAGCTAAGACAAAAATCATTTTGTGTTTGTGTTTCTCTGAAATTCCTTAATCTCCAGATTTAAACTCACTTGGTTATTTCTTGTAGAGTTACTCAAAAACAAAGATATACATTTAGAGAGAATAATTACAGAAGCAGTTTGTAGTGTGACTCTGTGTATGGTTATGAATATCTTACGAGAGGGAATCTTGTAATAGAACAGTTAGATGTATGAACAAAGATAAAAGATATATGGTGACATTACGATAAAGTAGAGTAATTAGAGTAAATTAAGAATTAAAGAAGATTAAGGAGTAACTTAGTTTAAGATTTAGTTAAAAGCATCACTAAAATGTTACAAACTGATTATTTAGCAATTTAAAAGCTATGTGTGTATAATAGAAATTAAGATTCTTCTGATAACAGTAGATTTTTATATAACTTCATTTAGAATTGTTTATTTACACTTATAATAATTACTAAATGTATTTCATTAAGGCACAAACAAATTTTCAATATGTTATAGCAGGGAAAATGTTAAATACAATAATTTTTAACATAAAATAAACAATGTTGACTCTTTAAGAATTATTTTTAATTCTAAACAACTTTTCTTTATAATAATTTTCGTTATTGTCAAAAATAAGATAATTTACTCTTGAACAAATGTTTTGTCCAACCTCATATATGACTAACAAAATTTACCCCTAATAAGACCCCTCCTGCTTAAATGCAGAAAGGATCACAAGAAGCACTGCAATTATTTAAATAGAGCATACAGTAACCTAAATAACTATTCAACATAAAGTCAAACCAGGAAACCCACCAAAATCATTAGTAATTACCTCTTAAAAGCCACCAAATTTAATTCGCATATCTCAACTAGTGTCAGAGCAATAAAATTGCAAAGCCTGGTATCATAAAATAAAGCATTTGCGGACATATGTTTAAATAGCAAACAGTTATTATTTTTTATGCAAAACAATCACCTAAAGTTAGCTGCCTTGTTTAACACCTAACGCACCTATTCCTGGTGTAATGCCTAACATCATCATCAGTGGCATTACAGCTCGATATGAGCCAAAGCCTTCTTCAGAACAATTTTCCATTCGCCCCTGTCTCTGGCAACTCTTCTCCATGCTTTAACTCCGATGGATTTTAGATCATCCTCTATGTTATCTTGGTACCTAAGTTTTGGTCTTCCCCTGGCTTATCTTCCCACTGGTCCTCTTCTGTCAAAAATTTTTCTGATTGTTGCATCTTCATCGCACCTAATTACATGTCCTATCCATGTAATTAGAATCCAATGCTTAACACCTTGTATAAAAACCGACTTTGACTTTTGAAGCTCTTGAATGCAGAAAGAATTTATTTCTGAGTCTTGGCGCAATGATAACTTTTGGTCAGCATGACCAAATCTAGCACTCTAGAAAGTTTCAGCGAATTTAACTGAAACCATTTTTACATAAGAAAAGTGTGGAGATCCTTTTATGAGATTTGCAAGAAATCTAGATGCATAATTGTAAACTTAGGTTTAAATCTTGGAAAAGGGTGCAAAAGGTTATCTTCTTTGTCTTGTGCCATCTTCTAATGAAAGTTGACAATGATTTCTTTGAAAGCTTCCTTATCTTTTGCAACATGAAATATCTGTTCTACACTGAGGTTAGTCCAATCTCTGGTATTACTGTTATATATTGCATTAAATTACTAATAACTTAGACTTTTAACTTTTACCTATAGAATTCCTACAAAAGACCAAAAAAACAAATTTAATGTCTACTTAAAAGCTAGGTTTCTATTTTGGATTCTTGCACAAACTTTGTATGCAAAAGGAGTTACACTGTGCTAACATTGTCTTTTGACATTAGATATTCTTTGGATTATGCGAAATTTCTGAGTGAATTTCTTGACAAACTCCCTGAACTACTGTTACATTATGGAAGGGAAGATTCCAATAAGCTTTATCTGGGGGAGAATTTTACTTTTATAAAACAAGTTTTTAAGGTTTATGAAGCAGGGTGCAACAAGAACAAAACTGACTTAGAGAGATTTTTATTTGAGAAATATTTCAAATTGAATAACTTGAGCTTATAGCAGGCTAAGAAAGATCAGTGTAATTTATATATTGAACATGTGAATGGAAATGTGAATGAAGCTTGGCAATAAAAGAAAAGATAAGACAAGATACGGAATGTGACAAAGAAATGGATAAACGAAATGAGATGATTAAGATATCAATGGATTTATAAGCTGTAAAAACAGCTCCTTATTTGAATGAAATTGCCATTTATTTCAAAACCAAATTAAGCTATCATATCTTCATCCTTTATAATGTTGCCAATCATGCCTGTGCCTGTTATTGGTTCACAGAAGTTGATGCTGCTTTATGGGCATCAACTTTTGGATAGTGTATTGTGGACTACTTAAAAGAAAATTGTTTGCCATCAAAAATACTAATTATAATATATAGCAATGTTTGCACTTTAAAAAATCAGAATGCAGTATTATCCAATGCACTACACAATTTCAAGGCCATATATGTAGCAATCACTGAGAATTGATTTAAAAAAGGTGTAGAGCATAAGCGCTACAAATCGATAAGACCTGGCAGATCCTCAAGTGACGAATATAAAAGTCATATTATAGACCTGAGGGAATCATTCAGGTGAAGCTTGATAAGGATAATATTTGGCTTAATCTACTTAGTAGATTGAAGACAATGGGCCCATAGAACATTATCCAAGGATGTATAGTGAAAAGTTCAAATTAACAAAGAAGAAATAGATGCACTTACAAGAAAGTGTTGCCATGCCCATTATGACATACTTTCCTATGAGGACAATTAAGAATCTTGTCATTTTTTGTATTTGTATTGAAACATGTTTTTGTTTTTTATTATTTTGACTAATATTCTTTCCAATTACAATTAAACAAATTATTTCAGCCAATGTCTTATTCATCAACCTTGAAACAAAATATTCTATATTTTTACATGAATTTACTACAAAACAAGTCAAAAAAATATCATGAAAACAAGAGGTGACCCTATTAAATAAGGATTTTCATCTCTCCTACAAAACTTAGGTTTCAACAGATAGAAGGTATTGTAACAATACATTTTGTATATTTAGTTTTTATCTTTATCTGTTCACCTTGATTATATTATAATTACTTTTTAAAATAGGTGAATATATACATAAATAAACAACATGCTCCACAAATAAATTGTTGATATTAGAGAAATAATTATAAATATTTAAATGGAACTTATTTTTAATAACATAATGTCGGTTTAGCATGAAAACCAAGTATCTGCGTTTTTACTGATTTCATTTTTTTTTTTTTTTCACCAAATCACTGAAAAACATGTATCTGATGATCTTATAATATGAAATATGGTCTTTTTTTGAATACAAACCCATCTAGGGCACAAAATAAAAACCAGTGCTTAATTCAAATAGAATGAAAACCTCGGAAGTGCTCATTAGTTACCACGTGCTTGTAGGTGTTTATATTTTGGTAGTAAAATAATATCTATATTAATTTCAGCGTTCACTCAAGTAGATAGCAAGGTAAGTTTTTTTGGATGACGAACTTAGGCAGTTAAATTTTTTAAAAATGTCATTGGTCAAAAATAAGCATCAAATGTTGGAGCCTGAAAAATATACAACAAATCGGGGAATAAGCACTTCAGAGTGTGATAATATTTTAAAAAATTTATCATCTGTCATGCCAAAAGACTGCCTCTTGGGAAAATATTCCAGTTTCAGATATGTAGAATGATTTAATTCAAAATTTTTGAATAAGACTGTTTTAGTAAAACTGTATACCTACTCTATATTATATTAATTTAAAAAAATTTCATAATTCATAATAAGTGTTTCATAATTTAATATATTTTGTTGAAAACCAAATTGCCTAATCTGTTTTATTTTAAGTATTAAGTATTGTTTTTTGCAGTTACATTTTTTTCTTTAAATTTAGCAAATTTAAAAAGTATTCTATGGTAACTTTAAACGCCTTAAGTGCATTTTAAACCATTAGGAAAAAATTTACAGTTTAAAAATTATTTCCAACAGTTTTTTTAATCCCAAAATTTCTAGATATAGCATATTTTCAAAGTCAGAACATAAGCTAGGACAATATAGAAAAAACATGTTTTTAATGTTGTCTCAAAACTAAGATTTTGCAGATACGGTACTCTCTCTTATGACGGCAGTACTGATAGAAAATGTATCAAATATATTCCAGAGAACTACCTCAGCGAATTTTAAAAAAGACTTCTGAGATGGATACTATTTCGAAGCTACTTCCAATAGCGCAAACAAAATATCAACATTTACAGGAACTGAAAACAGTCTTGCCAAGGGATTTTCATCCATTTTATGATCAATTGCCATATTCAAGTGAAAAGAAAAACAGCGAATAAGATATTTTTGTATTTTAGAAGTCAAATTTATTTCCTTAAGTATCTTTTTAATATGTATTTATCTTTTTTGTACTAAACAAAATAGGTAACTATTTTTTCTGAGCAATTATTTTACCTGGAAGATATTGTCAACAAAATTGAGAAGCTGACAAAAATGGGAAGCTCATAAGTGCCACTAATGATAGTTAATTTACAAATGAAAAGCTCATAACTGCAAATTAAGCGAAATGGTTTATTTTACTTAAATATTGTTGTAATAGTATAACTTATAACCATTACTTATTGAGCTTAAGCACCAAAAAAGTTATAATACTCTAAATGTAAATAAAGGAGAAAGTTTTTTTGTCTCTTGTAAAATCTTGTTTTTGTAGATATGTGGTTTTCTTCCTAAGCCGACATAAGTTATTGTCAAAATATTATTTACCCAATAGTAAAATTATTGATTAAAATAGCATTAATTATTATTTGCTGATGATGACGATATAATTTTACTTAGTTCAGTAACTCAATTGTAAACAGATCAGATATGCTATTGGATGTCAACAAAATTCCAATAATCATGACTAATAAAGGAAAATACCACTTTTAGCAAAATAACATTTCTATTTATACCTACAAAATATTACTACTAAGATTATTCTTCTTAACATGGAAAAGCAACAAATACAACTGTATAAAAACTTATGTATAACATAATCGATTTTTACTATATTTATATGCCGGTAAAGACGTATGTTATTTCCGTGTGATATTCCTAAAATAAGGCTATTTGTTACATCATCAGTAAGTTCATGCACCTTAAAGATACTATAGATGTACAATAGAAAATATGTAGGTAAGTATAGAGATAAGCCTTTAATCTTCAAAATATTCAGACGAGAAATATGTCAACCTACTCAACCATAAATTTAGAAGCGCAGAAATATATTTTCACAGTGCTAGAGTACCTATATCTAAATCTAAAAACCAAAATAAAAATACAAAATAATCCAATGTTTATATTCCAACACAGCATGACCTTGAAAAGCAAAACAGTCAATAAACGGCCACGGGCAGGGAGCACAGACGGAAGGACGACGCAAGGGGAGAGGGTGTTATTAAACACATAACATCCGCCATTTTAATTCTCATACAATACTGTTTGTTTACAACATCTACATATTTACCTCAAATTGCCAATGCGCTGATTGTAATATCTGTTTAGCTTGATCGTGTGCACAACCTGCTGCTACAACAAATTGATTTATCATTACTTGTTCTCTTAAAGGGGCATCCATTTTAAAAAATCTTGTAAAGACCGGAATAGACTACACTCGTTTTGAAATGTACAAGCACTCCACTTCACTACGGCACTACGTCAGTCTTTCTTTTTCTTGGACTACTTTTGTCTCTCTCTTTCTCAAGGCAACAAGTATTTATGAATGACGTCAAGCATATGCGAACTCGCGCAAATGACTGTCAAGAATGTTGTCACATTTAGAGTATTTCCAGATAATCTTCAAATAAATATTATGAAATTAAAAGCACTACAATTCTGAATTCATTCATTGTTTATTATAGGGATGTGAGAAATAAATGATATCTCTCTTTTAGTATCTTAAAAATACATTATAAACAGTAAATATGTTTATGTTACTGCTTTTTCGTATACCTATAATTATTAATTTACACATTTTCGTTTGATAAGAACATTAAAAAGGAAATATGCTGAAGCGAGTATACATATATTTTATAATTCTGAATTTTACTTCCAGATTTATAATATTTATATACCAATTTACATACTAACTTCGGTATAATATTCCATCCACAGATCGTGGTTCGGTCGCTAATTAATGTGTGAGTTTTATTCACAATAAGTTGCAAATATTATTATAAAGTATTGGTGATTACATACGTTTATTACAAATTACAGGAGTGAAACAATGATATAATTTAAAAATTGTATTTAAAGAGGAAATATTTATTATGTCCCTATTATTGTATTATGTCACTTCCTTCCAATGAATGAGATATGCAACCAGTTATTGGATATTTAAAATGACATTTTTTAATTGCACAAAAAATAATAGTATTAAATGAACTCTGAGCAATTTTACCTTTGTGATCTAAAAATTAAAATGGATAATATAATTTATGTTGTAGCCACACATAAAGTTCATACTGTAGTAGAAAAGTATATTTAAGTCTCTATTTTAAATAAAAATAAAAGTATTCTAGGAGATGCACATGACAACATCGCCCATACAGAGAATAAATCGGTGTTGTCAAGCATATGAATTATTCTAGACATTACAGAAAATCATTTTAAAATCAAGTTTTTATTTATGGCTTGTTGCTTGTTAACTATTACGTGAAAACTATTATCATTGCATGAACTTCTAAAAATAATGAGAAATGAAATGTGTTTTGTAAATTCTATAATTGCAATATTATTTTTTGAAATTTCAGAAATTGACATTTCCAATATTGTAGATGACTAAACTGACAACGTGGCTTTACTTGCGACAACGACAACGCCATGTCTTTTTTCTGTAACCTTCCATTTGTGTGAACTTCATATGAGTGGTTTTATTTTTTGATAAATACCAAACAAGAGAAAACTATATCCATCTGGAGTATTGCTAAGTAAATAAGGTAAGAGTTAAGTCCGTGAAAGAAAAAGTCTAATAACAGATTCTTTTCTCCCAAAGATTGTGTTAATTTGTAATTACAGTTAGATGATGCGAGTACATGGTTAATATTTCAATAGTTCGTATTAAGTATAGTATCGCGAAAGACTTCTAGTAGTTTGTGTTGTGAGTCTCGAAGTAAAAGTCCGGGTTTAAGTCAAATAAGTTAGTAGTTTGGAATAAAAATGTATTTATTGAAGAAGCAAAATGTTATATCCCAACAGTGCCTTTATGGTAATGAAGGATTTGACTACTATCCGAAGGTAAGACAGCAGTAACAACGGTCTCAAAGAATTAGGTTTACCCGAAGTGTTTACAACTCTCCCAGTGAGATCGGTTAATCATTTGGAGATTTCTTATTGTTAATATAACCTTTTTTATGTTCTCAGTCCCCATGGATTCCGAAGATTCTCGGGAGGCTTCCTCTGGAAGTGGAAGCGAAGATGATCAAGGAAGAGTCAGCCGTGCTAGCAAAAAATCTGCTGGTAGAGAATCTTACAAATCCAGATCATCATCAAGGTCATCCAGTGCTGGTAGCAGAGCTCATTCAGCTTCTTCACAAAGTTCTGCTGGGAGTAGAAGTAGGCCACCTTCTCCAGAAGCAGAGGTAGTTCAATCTAGATCTAATAAAAGTAGATCACCTGATTCTAATTCTAGTAGGAGTATGTCTCCAAATGAGGTATCAGGTGCCCCAGGAAGTCAATCTCCCAATCCACGATCACCTAAAATAAGATCTAAAGAAAAACAAGGTAAGATATTTTTTAAACTTGCATTTATTATATAAGTATTATTCACTATTATTTTTATTGATTATGCTCTATCTAGATGAGGCAAACACCAATGAGTCTGTTATGCTTTTTTGTGATTGTTGCAGAAGGAAGTCTTTGTAAACTGCTATTTTTTATTAAATTTTTACCTTAGGTATATTATTTCACTACATTCAGCTTGTATACTTATACAACATGTAGGAGTACTCACTGGCTTAAAATCTTTTCGCAGATATATGTATTTAAACAACATTCTTGTTTTTATTGTGCTGTGCTCTAACAACAAAGGCTGGCTTACTTCTAGGTAATTAAAATGGCACATACTACAGTAGTTATCTCATAAACACCAAAGCTTGAAAGTTTTTTCTTCTATGTTTATAAAGTTAGTCAAACACTTCTGCAGTAGTGACATTTTTGAAAAATGTTTGGAGATAATAATTTTATCAGAGGGAAAAACTTGTCCAAATATAATGTACTCTTTGAAACTAAACAACAGTTCCTATTCTATTCTTTTAGAAATTTATGATGTGTCCTCACATATCATAATCATTTCACATTAAGTCATCAAACGAAAGGATTTGTCTTTTGATTTTCACAACTTTTACAATTTTTCCCAAAGTTTTTTCCCAAATATTTAATTGTTTAGGTCATACTCAGCGTGATACTTGTCTGTGTGCTTTATTCCAATTTTGACCCTTCTTCAGATCTGTAGATAATCAATTACTAGTGTTTATTCCAATGTAATGTTTAAATTTTGTTTTGTAGGTTCAAGGTCACCAAGTTCATCTTTCTCTTCTTCATCTGAAGATGAAGGACCAAAATCACCTGAACCAGAGAGACCAGTTTCAGGAGGGCCTAGGTCACCACCTTCTTCCCCTCCCAATGACTATCCCAAATCTCCAAGCCCACCTCCAGATATGTTAAACCACCCTAGATCACCATCACCAAATCAAGTTAGATCACCTTCAGCCAGTCAACCCAAGTCAGCTTCATCAAACCCTCCTAGATCACCTTCACCACACCATCCTCTTTCATCTCCACCAAATCATCTTAGATCCCCTCCAATAAACCATCCCAGATCACCTTCACCCAACCATCCTACATCTCCTTCACCAAACCATCCTAGATCCCCTTCACCAAACCATCCTAGATCTCCTTCACCAAACCATCCTAGATCTCCTTCACCAAACCATCCTAGATCCCCTTCACCAAACCATCCCAGATCCCCTTCGCCAAACCAGCACAGATCCCCTTCACCAAACCAGCGCAGATCCCCTTTGCCAAACCAGCACAGATCCCCTTCACCAAACCATCGCAGATCCCCTTCACCAAACCATCGCAGATCCCTTTCACCAAACCAGCGCAGATCCCCTTCACCAAACCAGCGCAGATCCCCTTCACCAAACCATCCTAGATCCCCTTCACCTCAGAGCTCCTCTCGTAGCTCTTCTCAAGAATCTCATGGACACAAGTCTGACCATTGTGTAAATGGGGAAGTGAAAGTCAGGTATACTTTTTATTAATGTATATACTTTTGTTAGATTTTCAATTTTGTAGTACTAGAAATTAATTATAATAATGTTATCAAATGTTTCATATTGTATATACTGTATTTTTAATTGTATAAATATCTAAATTTACACTGACTAAAATGCTTGTTAGGAAAGCTAAAATGCTTCAAAAGTCTATGTTAAATAATTAAAAGACATTTTCTGGGTTTGTTTTGTAGACTGACTAACTCACCATCCAATTGATTGAAAATATCTGTACTATTAAAAGATTCATTCACTACTTATTTTGAGCTTATAAATTATTTAAATGAATACTAGCACCACTTGAACATTAATGTCAGGGTTAGTTTGTAGTACATATTAATATACTATGTATTTAAACTTTTATTTATTTATACAATCGTAAATCTAATATACAGATTGACCAACTACTAAAACTTCATTTATATCTCATAAAAGGGCCAGATAGTCTTTTCATGCTCAACATTCTAGGGTGTGAATGCGGTAGACAAGCAAATTATTATTAAAACCTTGAAAAAGTCATTTCAAGTTCTGTCACAAGTAGTCTGCGAATAATATGTCAATGTGAGAAATAACATTTTTTTGTCAAATTGTATTGACAGGTTATATAGTAAAGTACCCCTAGAAGTAAAGGGGTATAAGTAACATTTTTGCAAATATTTGAGAAAACTACATCGCTGAACTGGAAATCTTTCATTCTATTTGGAGGTAAAGAAATCTAAGCGATAAGCCTAACAGGTGTTGCTTTCTGGCGGCAAGTTACTTAGTTTCCAAGTCAACTGTAAGTAACCCTTGGAAGGAAGAGATACAAGTGCACTTGTACCCCTGTTCCACTGTGTCAGACTGTTAGTTGAGTTTGTTATCATTTTAGATGGGTAGTATTTTAGCTCCTACGTAAGTAATACTTCATTGCAAACTGTTGCGTTTGACAACCTTCGATTGACACAAAAACACTTGTGAGGCTAAAAAGTTACGAAAACTTGAAAATCATCATCATTGAAAGAACAAAGCCTTTCAGTTTTTCAAGAGTATTGGGCACTGGAATCTCTCAAACAGCTTTTCTAAATCGATCCATACAGACTATGGCTATAAAAAGAAAAAAACTAAATGCAGTTAGCAACAAAACGGTGTCATGTGTTTATAATCTGGAAAGTTTTGATGTATCCAACAAACTTTTACATAATGTAGTTGAAATCAAAAAAAGTCTTCTCAGGCGTGTCATGAATAGATAAAAGAGGAATGAAATCACTCCCAAACAAAATTTTTGAAAGGGCAATTGAAATCATAAAAGAGCATGTTAATAAGTTTCCTAGGTACACAAGCCACTCCACTCGAAATAAGACTTTGAAAAGGAGGTATCTTCTTCAGGACTTAAATTTGAAAATAATGTACAAACTTTACTATGATAGAATGAAGAACCTGTAAGTGAAAGGTTTTACAGGAATATTTTTAATACTTAGTTCAAACTTAGATCTTAGACTTATCGACCCTGCGATATTAAGTATCATAGAAGAGTTTAGAGAACTATCTAGGAAACCCATTCGAGCTGCTAAATATTCAAATCTTCAACAGTTACTAAACTAAATACCTCTAAGTTACCATGGGTTTTTGATCAATTTCCAACATGATGGTTAGCAACCACAGATGAATTAACAATCTTTTTACATTTTTTACCTTTATGTTGCATTTCTTTGAAGTAAAAGGGTACAATTGCTACTTAGCAATATAAAAATAGCCCCAAAATGAGCGAAGTCAATAAAATTATGATTTTTTGTTACCAATAATAATAAGAATAATAATGCCCTCAGTTACTAAACCGAAGAAGAAAAACTAAAATTAAAAATCATGCAATTACAGTGAAGGCTCAACTTTGAATGGCATTTACTCAAAATTTACTTTTTGTTGCTTACCCCTAACTTCTATGATCCTCAATGGTATATTATTATTTTTAAAACATATTATTTAAGTTTCTGCATGTTCTTGATGATGATAGTATTCATGATGTCAGGAGAAAAATAAAGTTAGTGGATATAGGTCTTAAAATTTGGTCTATAATTGGCATTTGCATATTATACTTGTTAAAAATAAGAGGTACAATTTTACTATCTGATTTCTTTGTGGAAGTTATGAATGTTGAATTGGCTTTCGCTTACATACATACAATTCACAATCCCAATTGAATGTCTGTTTTAATTAGAAGCCCGAGAAGTCATGGAAGTCCAAGACAACCAAGAAGCCCATCACCACAAAGTTCTGTGAGAAGCAGTTCCCCTGATTCTCCAGAAAGAGGTAGCAATAAGCTTCAAGATCGCAATATTCCGCCAAAAGATGACGGTCCTCATCGTCAACTTTCAAAACGTTCTAGATCTTCAAGTGCGTCTAGCAGTTCTCAAGGATCCCCAGATAGGTTAGTTAGCATGAATATTCATTTGAAAAATTATATATCTCATTTACTGCACAGTAAACAGTGGCGCAGTAGTAGAAATATATTATGTGAAACAGTTAATATGACCAAATACTAAACTTAAATTATTTTACGAGATATCTTTGTAGTTGTGTTAAATATTCCTAAATAATGTGAAGATTTATAAATAGTAGTCTAGCTTATCTTTTAGATTATGACTACTATACCCATTTTACAAGAAAGTTTCAAAAAATTAATAGAAAAAGCACAATAGACAAATATATAGTTTGACTTGCTTTTGCTATACTTAGGAAGCTAGTATCTGCTTATTACTTTGATTTCGAAAGCTGTTTGGGAAAAACCATTTCAAAAAATGTTTAAACATCTACCAGATATTAACTGTTATATGAAAAATAGTCACTATATAGAAAGTATTATATTGAATTTAAACAAGAGTATAATACTGATGTAATTTGTTTAATATACATATGTAGACTGGTCAACTTTTGTCATTAAGTCTATTATGTGTTATTATAAGGGATTCCAAAAAAGTTATTTACAAAAATAGGAGGTAGCTGTAAGCTTTACAGTTTAAAATTAGTTTTATATATACAAGATACTCTATAACACTACCGCATCAAAGATGTTTTTTTTAATGGGACACCCTGTATTTCATTTTAAATTTAAAATCCGCTTCCCTTTGTCGCAACAAGAATACAAAATCGTTTGTGTCATTTAAAAAGTTCTAAGCAAATTTCAATGAAAATCTTAACACTTCAACACTGTGTATAGTTAAAAAAAAGTGTACAAAAGCAACGGCCGATTGTAGTCATGGTGTTTCAATGATTGTCAAATTTTATAAATGTGATTTATTTTGCTAATAATCTTTAAATCCAATACAGGGTAAGCCAAAATACAAATTAAGTATTTGCTCTGCATTTTTAAATGCATTACCCTGTATTTTATATCGCCATCATAAACTTAAGTCAATGTAGTTTCACCAATTGATCACCCTTTTTACCCTCAAGTACATTTAGTGATTTTTGTCTGGTAGAGTTTGTGACTTACAGATTTATGCACTCATATGCAACCAGTTATACATCAGACATGGACTTCATGACTTTTGTCAGATGATAGAACCTGCTTTTTTAAATATGTTGGTGTATTTACCTAAGAATTGTATAAAATGAGCTTAATGAGTTATGCCAGAATGTCGACTATATATCCATCCACATGGTCCATGTAAAAAATTATACAGTGTGGAAACCACTTATGGAATAAAATTGTTTGTGTTATAGAAAATAATACTCTGGGACACGTTAACTTTTAAATTTAAATGTGCGCTTTTTAAACATAAATTTAAATGTACAGGGTGATCCACGCAAGTGGCATAGTAAATAATCCATATTTTTAATGAAACATCCTGTATATTGTTATGTTTTTAAAAGATTCTTAACAACCTGATTTCAACGAACTATGTCATGTAGGGTCTATAATGAATAATACAAGGTGAAATTTTGAAATTAATAATTTATCAATACTTTAAGTGTTAGTATATTGGGGAAAATTTCTGTTTAGTAACAGTGTTAACATTTTTTGTCATGAATATGTAAAAATTATCTAGATAGTCTGCTAATGAAACTAAATCGGTAAATAATGCGGATTGTTATCAATCAGTTGTAGGTGTGTTGACATTTTACATTAAAATTATAAATTCCTAATTAAAAGCTAATTTCTTGCAGAAATAAAAAGGAAATATTTAATTGAGACCCACCGAATTGAGATTTTAATGATCAGTTACGGGGAGAATTTTAGAGTTCAAGTTGAAGTAGCAAACTTATTTAATCAGAGGTATTCTCAGTTGCCAAATATTTCACAAGGTACTGTGTCTAAAATTTATGCACAGTTAAAAGAACTTGGACATGTCAAACCATTAAAAAGAGAACCAAACTTCATTGAAGATTAGGTGAAAGTGGATATTTTGTTAAGTTTCACAGAGAATCCAACGTGAAGTTCACGTCAAATTGCACGTCAAAATAATGTGAGTCACACAACTGTCCTAAGGTGTCTTATGAAGAAAAACTTCATCCATATAAATTGACTTTTGTGCAGGAGCTAACAGGAGACGATCTAGATCATAAAATGGATTTCTGCGAAAGAAAGGTGGATAAAGTTAACACAAATGAAATGGCTCTTGGTATAATTCTTTTTTCTGATAAATCAACAGTTATATTGAACGGAGAGGTAAACTGACAAAACTGTAGATATTGGTCAGCGTAGAATCCTCATTGGATGCGTGAGACACACACTCAGTATCCTCAAAAGTTGAATTTTTGGGGAGGTATTATAGGAGATCATATTATTGGTCCTATATTTATAGATTATAATTTGACAGCTGAAAAATATTTAAGCATGCTAAGAGACGATGTTCTTCCTCAGTTGGCTAACTTATATCCCAATCCAATAGATCCGGCCATACCGCATGAAACTCTCTGGTTTTAGCAGAGCGGTACATTATGCTTTCATGGTGAGAAATTACTTGAATTAAAATCTTCAATAAATGGATTGGATGAAGAGATACTATTGAGTGGCCAGCTAGGTCGCCAGATCTTACGCCTTTAGATTTTTGTCTGTGGGGTTATCTCAAGAACGAAGTATTTGCAACACAACCAACTAGCATTGAAGACCTCAAAGAAAGGATAACTGCAGAAATACAGACTATTTCACCGCAAACTTTAAACAATGTTCAAAACGAATTTTATAGGAGACTGTGTTATTGCCAACAACAAGGTTTAGAACATTTTGAGCATTTATTTTAATGTAATACAATCAATTACCTCGGGTATCCTATGAATTAATTGTCTTGAAGAAAACTATACTTAATTGCAAAATTTCACATTTTTGAAAAAATTTGAAAGCGCACATATAAATTTAAAAGTTAAGGTATCTCAACGTTTTTTATTATTTTCTAAAATAAGGACACAAACAATTTTATTCCATAAGTGGTTTCCAACTGTATATCCTCACTTCTGTTTATATTTACATTATCATTCTTTTTTTATATTGAATTGTTCAGTTTGAATCTTTTAATGTAAAATTTCAGATATGTAAGAAAAAAACATCCAAATAACGACAACGCGTCTGTCAAAAGTGACAGTAGTTCAAAATCTAGTAGACAGTCCAGAAAATCAGCTTCGTCTAGAGGATCGAGAAGAAATAGGACGCGAAGAAAGCGGGCTTCTTCGGATTCGAGCGACAGCAGTGTAGATTCGTCTAGTAGAAAAAACAAACACATCTCTAAGACTGATACTCAGCCTGAAGAAATATCTGATGGTATGTACCAAAAAAATCGTTTTCCTGCTAGACATGGAAATTTAAAAAAAAATTATAGAACAAGAATTTTGGGCATGGCAAATAGCACTAATTTTAATATGTTTAGCTACATTTCCTTCCATAACATGTTTGGAAAACTGTTTCAGCTGTCTCATCTCAGATAGATGTTTTAAAAGTTGTATCTCTTCCATAACATAGACAGCAATCCTCAGCCCTTAGTAAAAATACTCTTTTCTTTTGTGTCATCTTTTTCTTGAAAGTTTTCGAACACTTTGTGCTTTAAGATATTTCAATCAACAGGTATCATCTTTCATATCTTCTAACCAGATATTCAAAGCTTTTTCACTTTCATCGTCGTTATTAATGTTGTATCACACACTGTAGCAGAAGCCTTTGCAATTTAAATGGGAATAAGCCACAATTAAAGGTTAAAGTATGTTTATTGACGTTTCAATTTCCACTTCGGAAATCGTTCTCAAATTCAAACATTAGTAAATTAAACAAATTTTGTTTTTTTGTACTTAGTGAAAATTCTAATAATTTATTTTTATCTGACTCATTTATATTGACAATTCAGACATACATTATACGCGGAAATATTCTGATATGTTCTATCACTCTTTTTCTTGCGTTCTCTGATACTTTGTTGGCTCCAATGTTGATTAATTCTTAAACTGAGTGGTGGTTTATATTTATTCTTCATATTTATTCATTCACTACACATCAGATGGGGTTGAGGGTACAGGTTAGATATAATTCGTATATCCCCATTTAATAATTTCAATAAAAGTTGTGAAACTGCAACATGTATAAATAAAGTTACTTTATATATAAATTTATATATTTGTATTAGGTGACATTGAGTCTGAAAATGAAAAGGGTCGTTCAAAAGCAAATCCTCCCAAACATGAAATTAATATTTCTCATGATGACCTTTCTGATGTGTCTGATTTAGAAGATTCAATCGGCGGACATTCTGATAATGACGATGCCCAAAGTTCCAAATCTGAAAAAAAAGTCAAGAGTACAGAATATAAAGAAGAACAAGCATTGTCAGCATCCCCAGAACCTAAGAAGGTATTTGATATATTTTCCGTGATATTTGCTAGATTAAAACATATATTTGTTAAAAGCTCAAATTAATGTATCACATCTTTATCAATTTTTATTATACAAAACATTGAGAATATGTCATTTTCTATAGGTATCAGAAAAACAAACCAGACCAGAAGAAGGTGAGGAGCAATTGGACTTTGAAGCCGAAGATGGCGAGTGTGAAGTAGAAATTATTAAGGACAAAGATGAAACTGAAGAACGTTCCAAAAATGATGAAACTGAAAAGACTGATGAGAAGGAAAAAGAAAAGAAGGAAGAGAAACAAAGAGAAGAACTAGAAGAAGGTGAAGTTACAGATGAAGACGATGTTAGACCGGAGGAAACGGAACCAAGGCCAGTTTGTAGATTCTTTTCAAGGGGACAGTGTACATGGGGAGCAAGTTGTAGATTTTTGCATCCTGGCGTTACAGATAAAGGTAATGCTTGATTCGAATAGTTAATTTTTTTTCTTTTTATAAGAATATTTTCTGTTGAAGTTTTTTGCCAAACAAGATTAATTGAATTTATTCTTTAGGAAACTATACAATGTTCGAAATGATCAGGCCGGTTGTACCAGGTGAATTTCGTGACGAGAGGGTATATGGTAAAGTAGAACCGCCAGTCGTAGAATCAGCGTGGGAGAGGGGACTTCGTACAGCCAAAGAAATGCTCCGAAAATCAGTTAAGAGGAAGGAGCAGGATATAGATTTTGAAGAAAAGAAAATGAATTTGAGTTTAGCTCAAGAAGAATTTGATAAAGAAAATGGTTATTATGGAAGGGTTGCTTCACCAGAACCAAGGTTTGTTAAATTGTTTTTTATTTTGAGAATAAACTAATTTTAATCATAATAATTCGCCGTACTAAGGATATAGTTTAAATTTTCGTGCAAATACGGTTTACTAATTTTAGAGTCATATTTAAATACTTCATCACTTTATGTTTACACGTTTATATTATAAATCACGAAAACTGTTGTTTAACAATATGTTGTAGATATTTATTTATTTGCATTTTACAACCTGTCGTCAGTTATTGCAAATATTTAAAGAATAATTTTAATTTAAAATTTCTGGATTTAATATCAATATGGTTTTGTCTAAATTACTGCTATTTTAATATTAAACTTGAATTAACTTTCTTATGATGAATATTGTATAGCTTTCTTTATACTCTGTAAGGTGTCTCTTTTACCCTCAACGTTGGCCACCGGCACAAAAGAGATTCCCCATGTCTCTTTTAACACCTTCATCAACGTCTGTTTTGCTTTGCAATTTTTATAAAGCATAGATTAAAGCAGAAATCTGAATTGTGTTTCGAAACTATTTTATGGATTTACTATCAGATGTCGCTATTGCGTCCATATCGAAGCCATTTTAGTGTTGCTTCTTAAAAGACAGAAAATATTTATCTTTCACGTTGAGAACACCTATGAATAAATGTTCTGATGAGACCTATTAGGTCGAAATACGTATCAACAGATACATAGGCCCTGTTTGCGTGAAATCAAATATTTGCTGTCTTTTTAATTTTATTCGAATCTACTCTGTACGAGTACAAGAAACCAATTCGCTAAGGATTTCTGCTTAGTTGAAAAGACATGTCGTGGAATGCAAATTTTAGATTCCCCATGTCTCTTTTAACACCTTCATCGACGTCTGTTTTGCTTTGCAATTTTTAGAAAACACAGATTAAAGCAGAAATCTGAATTGTGTTTGGAAACTATTTTACGGATTTAATAAAATTGTTTGTAGGTATGTGCGTCATGTTGAGTATCCGGCAAGACCACCTCCAGAAGAGTATTATGGTCGAAGACAAGTTGTTTACGAACAAGATTATATGCCGCCACCTCGTGAGAGAGTTCGACCTTATCGTGAACTTCCACCGCATCGTATGCCTGATTATTATAGCAATAAGTACAATGAGGAGGAAGCGCCTCCACATTCCAGCAGCAGTACCGGTAAAAGAAGCAACAAGCCAAAGCGGGAAGTAAGTAATTTTTTACTTGAATCTATTTTGTTTTCCTTAATCTTGGATATATTTTATAAATTTTAGAACTATAATCGCTATATTTCTGTGTAGTTAATGTGAAATTCTTCTGACCCTTTTTTTTGTCATATCTCTAACAGTTTTATTTCCTTTTTTATATAGCAGGATTGTTACAGCATTATTCCATTTAGACAGTATCAACTTTTCTCGTAAGCATAAATTAAAAAGCTTTTGTATTTTAAGTATCTTGAAAAGATATTACCAATATAATCAAGGAAAACCAACTGTCTATTATGTCGAGAATGTGACAGTGTATGAACTCTAGTGTCTCTCTAATTTTGTTACATTATGTTAAGTTATGTTACATTATTTGAGGTTATATTATTAATTTGATGTATTGTTACTTGCATGCATTAAAAATAAACCTATCTTTTAAGGTGATCGTGCAAAGGGTTGAAAGCGAGCGTCCATCGTCAGGAAGAGGCGATGAATGGTCAGATCCTTGGATGAGATCCAAGGATCAAGGCAGAAGAAAAGAAGCATCAGGTCGTAAGAGGTCATATAGTACTGGATCGTCTTATTCATCTAGCAGGTTCGTAAAAACAAATTTAAATTTGACTAGGTAAGTAGTAAATTTTATTCTCATAAGTAAAGGGGGCATGTTCAGTCTATTAAATTGAACTCTAAATTATATTATAAGACTATTCTTAATGATTGAGCATTGTTTTGTATGAAGTTAACCACTTATCTCTGATGTTTGGAGGAGTGCAGTATACATATGGTTCTTTGTTATTATTATTTTAATACAACGTTCCTGACTGTCAGGCTCTCTTATATTTTGAAAATGCTCCTACTATCATGCATCATTTTATGGTATGGAAGAAGTCTAGTGAAACCTGAGTGTCGTCTAATAAAAAATATTTGTTGAAGATTAGCGAATACGTTTGTGCAAGAAGAGCCTCTCCACAACGACAAGGTTTTCACGGCTCTCGGGTCTCGGGGGGGGGGGGCAAAGGAGAAGATGGGCAATATAGATATGACAGATCCTTGCAGACGACAAATGATCTGGCTACATAATATCAATGAATGAACAAAATATATCACCAAAAAGTAATAAATGTTCAAAAATAAAGAAGAATTTGCAGTGGTCATCTCCAACTTCTCTTGTACCATATTGTTGTTTTTCTTGATTAATTTTTTACTCCAGCAATACATTTATTTTCATCTTCTCCCTGTTTTTTGCATTTCTTCTATCTAATTTCTTTCTCTTCAGAATGTTTATAAACCCAGTAGTATATATTCTTATGCATAACATATAAATTACAGTTCTTCTAGTTCCTCGGATTCGAGCAGAAGTTCCTATGCGTCACGATCAAGAACGACTCGACCACGTAGATCAAGATCTCACAAGGGAAGGCCCGTTTCACCTTCAGTTATAATGTCAGAGAGAAAAGCGGCCAATGAAAGAGCTGCTTTAATGAATCCTCCAGCACCAAAGAGAAGAGCTCCTTCACCAGGTAAATGTATATTTCATGCCAAAAGTCCGACCTTCATCTATTTTTTGCACCCTCAAACATATTAATATTATTTTAGATTACTAAGCTAATGCACCACATTGTTTTTATGATGTTTTATTGACGTAACCATTAAAAATGGCGGTCAGGTGCCATTTTGTAAAATTATTTTCAATAACATGTGGCAAGTAATAACCAGTTGAAAATAGCCCCCATTCAGTGTTAATGGCGAGATTGTGAAAAAAACTTAAGACCGTTCTTAATAAACTGATAGCTGTCAGTTTTTAATATGCAGAAGAGGTTTTAAATTATATTATAAACTAACAACTTGCCGGAACCTGCATAGACGCCGTGTTTGTACTAAGACAAATCACAGAAAAGGCCCTTGAGTACAATAAACCAGCATATCTACGTTTTATAGACCTGACAAAGGCTTTCGATCGCATCCAAGTCAAAGACGTCTTACACCTACTGTATAAAAGAAACATACCAATCAATATTATACAAACCATCAAAAAGATCTACCTCCATAATCGAATACAGACAAAGATATATGGAAAACTAACACTGTATATTAGTACACCAAGCCTCCGATCTTCACTTATACACTGTTCATTAGTTACTGCACTACTAGTGAACAGTGTTCTCTCTTTAAAACATCATATAAAATGAGAATAAAAAATCGTTTTCTATTATTATCTTTATAGATAATCAGTATTATTCTCTTGTTACTTTTTGTCTTTTTACACCTCGTTATTTTAAAGGTATGATGAGACTGAGTGCAGCTGCTAATCCGCCAGCTCCATCAAGAGATGAGCAGTTTAGCAGAAGCAGAAGCAAATTAGCAGTTGCCGCTGCGTTGGCGAGAGTAAGAGGTCGCCGAGCCTCGAGATCATCTTCTGGAAGTTCATCGGGTAGTTCTAGCGATTCTGATTCATCAGACTCCAGTAGTTCAAGCAGCAGGGATAATAGTCCACCATCTAGAGGACCCGGTAAGAAGTTAGTTCTACTTAAAAATACGAGCCTTAACAACTATATTTATATTGAAACAAGCAGCTATTTTGCGAATATAATGCAAATTTACCAAAATTCTTTTTTTTAATTTTTTTTATTTGTAAATATGAAATTAACATTTCTTATGATATATGGAATTATTTTTGCGGCTTAATCATATATTTTATATTGACTACTGTTTAATTAATTGTTTGATAATTGAAAACTGCTGACAACTAAATATTGGAACATTTTTTTGCTTACGGAATTCCCTTTATTGTTACAATGTCTCCAATTAACGTAAGTTGGTCATGGTGTGTTGTCAGGTGTTGAATCTACATTTATAGAATAGTATTTGTTTGTCTTAATTTGCCTAACAATTTCATCAATAACCCACTTGGACAAAATATTCAGTAATTAATTACATATATACTCCATTCGCTTAGCTCGGGCATATTTTGACAGATTCATTGTCGGAAATTTACAACACAACAATTCCTACTTCTCAGCATTAATAGCTCAAGTATACTACTATTTCAGACTTCTTACTTTGAAAAAAGAAGAATTATTCTAAACAGTGGAAGTGTATACTAAACCCATCAAATTTTGATCCGACTGCGTGCGGATGGATCCTTCCACCCTGAATCCAACACAAGCCAGGTCATCCTTAACGGGACACAAAAAAAACTTCGCAAAAAAATAATTACTAAATTCACTAGACAATTCGGACTGGGAATAGTGAACCGAGTATACCTTTTTATAGATGTGACGTTGTGCCCTTACCTAAATTTGCTCGTTTATTAATATGATCTTTTAAAAATGGATCATATTCTGACAATAGTTCCAGTAAACCTAAGTAGTATACATTCTGTTTTTTTCACTTCTTTCTTGAGTACCTCTAAATGCCTATTCCCTGGTAGCCAGAAACTTTATTACACTTATAATTCTTTCCAGTACTTTCCAGCGCTGCTTGTTCCAACATATAGTTGTTAGGGCTCGTGCATGTTTTATTACTTTATTAATATCTTTATATTCTTTATTCTGAATAATTTGTATATTTTTCAACAGTTGATTTGGTGAAAGCTATGGATGCTTTGAAAGGAAGCGCTTTAGAGAAGAAACAAATAAAACTTAATTTGAAGAATCCGGTTGGACCCAAAAAGCCGGAGAATCCAAGAAGTGCAGAATCGTCTCAAGCCAAAAAACGACCGGCAAGTTCTCCACCTCCCGGTGATCCCAAGTCGAAGAAAGTGACTTCAAGAAGAGAAGAACTATTGAAACAATTAAAGGCTGTGGAAGATGCCATTGCAAAGAAGAGGTCAAAAGTTAATTGAATCGACTGATATATAATATCGATCGTCTGTAATTTTAAGCATTAATAGTTATCTTTTGTATATATTCGAGTAGGATTTAGTGTTGCCGACTGTTTGATTCAAATTACTTACATTTTTTGTATTACTTAGCTATCTGTATGAGAGAAAAAAAAATAATTCATAAAATATATGTCTTAAGCAACGATTACTTTGTCTTTTTATTCAAGTTACTAACGGAAATAAAAAATGAGATACGGGGTAAGTAACTGTTGTGCTAGAATTCTTTGAGCCTGGACATATTGCACAACGTCCACGTTTTCTAGAGCTTTACATTTCTGTTTTAGTAGGGTTCTTCACTTTATATTTCATTAGAAAATCTTAAATATACTGAGGAAGATGTCGCATTGTTGCTCTTTCTAAAAGATGTTCTTTCATTAAACTCCAGCTCAAATTCTTTTTAAAAATTCGGTGACATAATTTGGTATTTGTTTTATTGGTCCAAAATCTGTGTTTATACGTCCATGGTCCAAAACAACACCTGCGCGTTGATACCCCCAGATCTATTAGAGGAAAAAATATATATATATACTTACTCAATAGTATCCATTCACAATTCCGACTCAATTTCAGCTCTAGGTCAACACCATCTTCATACAGGTTACAAAATTGATTTTGAAAACTCCAGAACCATAGCCCCCATCCGCTTCTACAAACCAAGAATTATCCAAGAAGCCATAGAAATTGAAAAAAAGGTCAAATTGTCTCAATAAAAGAAATGACTGCATACAGTTACCTTCGACTTGTAGACCTCTCATAAAGAAAATATTCTCCGCTCCACCTGTCAATCAAAATCCTACTGTCAGAAATGTTTGCACCAATCCCCACGCTAACCTCCACCCAAAGCACGTCATCATCGACGGTGTAAATGAACCGTCCTCTATCCCAGTAATGCATTGGTTAGTGATCAGTGTAGTAGTGTCTGTGGGCTTGGGAGACTGAGACCTAGGAAACCCTCAATAAGACATTAAAGAGGATGTCGAAATCTCAGCGCAATGATGATCAATGCGGTTCAACCCGGAAGACTGTCGAGTTTAATAGTAATTCCTGTAATAGTATTATTCTAAGCTCTAGGTTTAATTGTACTAACCGCGGAAACCTTTCAGAACATAAGGAAAAGTCAATAAAAAAAGAAAATAGTACTCTTACATTGATAAAAAGAATAGTAAAAAAATATTTTTATCTTAAAAAAACTTAATTCATGTTACAATATTATCTATTCTATTGAATTACATTCTATAAAAAATACAATAGGTTTATGGTGACTAAAGTAAAATACAAAAGGATTCAATGTTTTCTAAATATCTGGAAAAAAACGTGTCTGCAACATCCAACAAGTAACACGCATGGGACTGCATTTACTACTCCATGTATTATGTGGTCGCGCGTTACAACTATTCGTCTTTTATTTTATCAGCCATAAAGTAATTAAGATAAAGTAAGGTACAAAATAGTTAGATGGCGAAGAGACTGATCTCATTTCTGATATAAAGTAGTGTGAGTTGTTCTTAAAGACAAACCGACTATTAGGAAGATTTACTTAAATTTGGAGGGATAGCTGGTACTTTATATCTCAGGAAAGTATGCTCCGAAGAATAAGCAGACCATACGCCTAAATGAAAAAGAAATTTCAAGGTTTAGTACTTCTTTTTCTTCAGTAAAATAACTAAATTAAAAATAAATCGGCACATTTTTTGAGCTACTTTTGTATGGCAATTTAATTATACATAGATAACATATTGTATCGTCTTCTGTTTTTATAGTCTTCACAAAACAAACTTAAATGTTCTCAGTAGACTGCTACTACTGATTTCGTCATCAATTGTATATCATATTATGAAAGAATTAACCCACACACATAAAATTTTGGCATAGGTTAATTAAGCAGAAAAATCGTTGATAAATTGTAATGATTTAACGCTTAACCCGACACATTCTAAATCCTCAGCTCTTCTAAATCAGATATTTGAAAGTTGTTGATTACTGATGAAATGTTGGAATAAATTAACATGGACAAACCAAAAAATTATTATAATGAGAGAAAAGTTATCTGATTTGACTAATACATCAAACTACAGAAGCACAAATATAGTTGAGTTGAAGGCTTTGCTTGGGCTTTTTATGCTATCTTCAATTATAAAATCTTCTCATGAAGATAAGCTTCAACTGTTTTCTAAAGATGTTTTGGGTCGTGTCTTAGATTTGACAATAGCATGGATTGTGAAGAGCGGAAGAAAACTGATAAAACAGCGGCTATTTCAAATATTTTTAATAATTTTGTGACTAATTGCCAGAGGCTATACACGTTGTCAGATTGTGTAACTGTGGATGAGATGCTACTTCCATTTAGAGGTCACTGTGGTTTTCGAATTTACATGCCCAGTAAACCTGCGAAATACGGCATAAAAGTAATGTGCATGACAGATGCTAAGAGCTAGTATTTCTATAATGGATATTCAGGGAAAGATTCGGATGGTGTTGGACTTTCAGAAGAAGCTTTCCAAGCCTGCTCAATGTGTCATTCGACTATCCAAACCAATAGAGGGCTCTAACCGAAATATTACTGCTGACAACTATTTTTCTTCAATAGGGTTGAAAAACGCCACCTCACGTATGTGGGTATAGTAAAAAAAATAAGCGAGAAGTTCCTTTGGCATTCCAGGCTAATAAAAGTAGGGAAATTGGTACAGCACTCTACGGTTTCTCCAATGACATAACCTTGATATCATATGTACCGAAAAAAATAGAGGTGTTCTTTTATTATCCTCTATGCATTACAGCAAAGACAATGAATTAGGAAAACCAGAAATAATTCGATACTAAAATAGTACAAAATCGGGAGTTGATGTTTTAGACATGAAGTGTACCAATTATAGTGCAAACCGCCAGACAAGGCGTTGGCCCTTAGCCGTATTTTATACACTTATAAATATAAGTTCAGTCAACAGTTACATCCTTTATCTTTGTTACAAAAGATAATAAATTACTTCCACGTTTTAAATTTGTAAAAGATTTGGCCTTTAAACTAATTCAGCCTCATCTAAGGCAAAAACTTGAAACAAATCTTCCTTAGAGACCTTAGAAAGCAGATACGATTCTCTTCAAATCCTACATTTGTTTTTGATTTATTTCAATTTTTACCTACACTTCATCTAATTTATATAACGATGCACGTCATCGGCGTCATAGCCTGTGACGTTACATGATACCAACACAAAATATTTAGGGTGTAGGTGTGTTCTTTTTTAGATTCACTTTACCGAGTACACGGGCATTACAGCCACTAGACATATTTTATTATATACGCGTAGAAATAATATTTAAAAATTTCTATTAATGTTAACTTAAAGAAATACACAATAATATGTTTCATTTAATTTGTATAAATGCATTATAAAGCGTTTTTATCAAGAACATTTGTTCGGAACACACTGTAACTGTAATCGAACAAAGCTAAAATTTTGGCATAAATTGGTAACACTTATTTGACAGTTGCGGTGTTGACACTTTTTGTACTTCATTATTTTGAATTTTAAAGTGAATATCTCTTGTTTTATATTTTTAACTATTTAATAAAATCTGTTCTTTTTAGAACAAGATTAGTGTGTTTTATTTCAAAAATGTCACGTAAGAATTTAAATAGTCGTTGTAAAGAGATGGTAATACTTTTGCAATAATTATGTAATCTATTTGATTTAAAATGGAGTCAGGATTTTTTTATACTTTGGCAACTATGTCAACTTCGATCTCTGACGTAGATAATGACGTAAGTCGTTATCTAAATTAGATGAAGTATATAATGGTCCAATAGACCATATGTTTCGGATTAACAATAAAAGTACTATGTTTCGGGTTAAGGGTAAAGATATATTGTTTATGAAGGTAGTAAGGAAATACTGAATACTTAATTTCAGTTAAATTTTTAACTGTACTTTTTTAAAAAGAAAGAAAACACAATATGAATTTTTAAATACTTTACATAGTGCTATTACAATCAATCGTTTCTCCAAACAGTTTCCACTTCATCAGTCCTATACCTCTGTGTTATAAAGGAATCTTCCCATTTCATTCTGACTCCAGCTCCGAACATTTCCGCACCTGCGTGGGCGATCATTATTCCATTGTCTATACAAAACCGTTCATCGGTGGCAAACAGTTCAGCCCCTCTTTCCTTGCACATCACACCCATCATTTCTTGAAGCCTAAGATTGCATCCTACACCTCCGACAATAAGAACCTCTTGGGAGTTGCAGTGAGCTAATGCTCGTTCTGTTGTTTCAACTAACATGGCAAATATTGTTTCCTAAAAACATATTTTATTTTGTTTGTACATAATAAAATTGAAATTGTAACACAGATTATTAATGATTCATAGTCACACATTTTCATTTACTTTAATTTGGGGTCTGTATAAAATATGTTAATTATACAGGATGTCTCAAAATTGAGGCCCGTTCTTTCAAATATGAATCGGAGGAGTAAAACAACTTAACTCATACGAATAAAAAATTTTCGTTTTGTCATTGTTACCAAGTATTTAAAAAAAAAGATATAAAATTCGTTTTTTTCACATACTGTAAAGTGGTAGTGTTAACTTCATGTAGCATTCTCTGAAGGTTGTCCTAATTTTCTACTATGATTATTATTATCATCCATATAGCAAATAATTTTGAGATCTTTTATTCCCATTCTATATCCCTTTTTTGCTGTTAGCTTTCTTTATAATTTCATTCATAATCAAATTGACTGTGCCTTATTCCTGTTCCATATGCAATTGATTCCATCAGTTCACCCTTCAGTTTTGAAATTATGTACCTTGTTGTCTTTGTATATGTTTATTACTCGTCCCAGTCTGAGAGACTATGTGCAGGAGAGATTAGGTGGGGAAATTCTCATCTCCAACTCTGCATGCTCTAATGCCTAATGGATACGATTCTGTGAGTATATGGGACAGGTGTGAATAAGCTCTACCAAATAATATAAAGGAAACAAGCAGAGAAGCGATCCCAGTAGTAAATTCTGTCTTAGTCCTATATAGGCTTCAATGATTCCAATCAGGACCCTTCAGCGCAGTAATGAAGTTTCGACAGAACTTACTGGTGCTAGTAGAAGGTTCTGTCACCTTAATACAAGAGTTGTGGGTATACCA